GCTCATCCACACAGGTCTCCTGCCACCCTTTCCCGATTTCTTCCTCAATTTCTTCATTCTCAATTCTTCATTTTTCCTTTCAAACACAAAAGGGTAAATTTATTTGGGCAATTAGCCTCCATTACAAACTTTGAGCATATGAGCTGAGCTAGTAGCCATGTGTACATTAAGTGCTTCTTAGCCAGCTAGAAAGGTAGAAAATGAGTTTTAAAAAGCACTTAGTTCTTTCACCTACAGCAGCATATTTGAATCAAGCAGGTCTTACCTTCCTTCTTCTGTGTACCGTGCAGATGGTTATCTATTTATTGTTTTTTCCTTCATCCTGCAAGTTCAGAAACAGCAGTGCAATACAGACTGACTTAGACTTTCTGACAGGAGAGCAAGTTGGCAAGGGTAGATTCATAGTGAAGTGAACTACACTGCATGTGATACAACGTGGGCAGGGCAAAGGGAGGCAGAGAGCTTTTGTTGCTGAGCTGTATAGCTACAAATTGACAGTCTACAGAAGAAAGGTAAAGAGGAGGGCATTTCACTTGCTTAACTTTCTCTTTGCCAGCTAGACAGATCATTAGAAATGCTTTTCTCCACCCAAACACTGGTAGTCCAGGAAAAAGAATTCTTTGCATATAGATTTAATATTTTTCCTACTCTATAATGGTGCTTTGAGGAACTACAGCATTTTTATGTAAATCAAAAAAATACATGTAAACTTTGAATGGTAGTACCAGTTTTATTTTTGAGTGGTCCGTACGTAAGCACCTGATAAGAGAAACTGCTTTGTGATACTGATTTTTAATTTATTTTTGTTTTTTAGATTATTTTGAAAGAACGAGAACTGCGAAAACAGCAACACCTGTTAGAACAGACAGCAGTACCAAAGGATGGAGGTAATTCCTGTGTGTCTGCAGAAAATGCAGCTAAAGATGAAGCACTTCCACAGGATAGTCAAGCAGGTATTTTTCAAGACAGTCCTTTAATACAGTACAAAGGTTGAGATCTGTGAGTGAGTACACTTGATACTTTAAAAAATAGTACTAAGTACTGCCAAACAAAAACTGTATTTTTGGAATTTTCGGTGTTCAGCATGGGCTTATCTGGAGTAAAGTATGACTAAATTGCTACTCTCTGTAACTAAGTAGGAGGTATTCAGATTATTGCTTCACACTTAAATGCTTAATGGATTTATATGGCATCATGAGACTGTCTTTCTGGCAATCAGTTTTAAAAAGAGGTACAAGAGAAAAAGAAAGCTAAACGACTTGTTTTCCTGTTACTACAGACTGCTGTGGTACTGAAACAACTTCAGGAGATAGAAAATTTACAAATCAGTCTCTTCACAGCACCTTTGTTTGTCTTTTTATTGAAATATCTTTATTTGCATGATAGTTGTTCCTGTAATGCAAGTTGTAGAAGGGCTTCTGGGGAGCACAGAGATCAAGGAATCTACAGAAAGCTCTATGACTTCAAAGCAGTCAACATCTAATCTTCCAAAAATCCATAGTAGAAGATTTAGAGAGTAAGTATGGATTGTACTGATGTTTGTATTTTCTGCAATTCCACAAATATAGCATTTTTTAACAACGTATATTAAATGTGTTCTGTGCAGCACTATTTGGATTAATGATTCCACATTTTTTTTTTCAGTTTTTCTGTAAGCTGGCACACAAATGAAGAAATGATATCCAGAGAAACATGTCTGTACATTGTTGTAATATTCACTTCAGAATACATGATCCTTGCAGGGAAAAAAAAAAAGATGAGAAATTTATGAGGCTAAGGAATGAAAAGGAGCTGCTGTTTAGGATGAGTGTTGCATTAATAGAGTACCAGTTTAATACTCAACAACTTATTTCCAGTGTATAGTTTGGTTTTCTGCTACCAGCCAAATGGCAAACATGTGAAGTATGTGACTAGTGAGATGACGTTTTCATGTTGTGCAAGGCAAGAAGACTTGCTATTTATTTTGTGCAGACACTTCAGTTTTGTTTAAATAGATACGTGTATGCTTCCTTAGAAAAAAAGAAATAGTCCTCACTATGTGTGAAAAGGTCAGAAATCCAGTGTAGTAATTATGACTGGTTTTAACAATTGTGAACAGAGTTTAACTTCTGATTTTCCCTTAAGGGTACCGTTGTCCCATTGTCCTTCTTTATAATTGTTGTTATTGTAAATATTAATCTTGATACCACTGTCATTTTATCTCTTGCCATATATTAATTTAAGTTATTTGCTTGAAAAATTACTTAATTGATGTTTATGTGACAGTGTTTTACTGACTGCCCTGTTTGAATTTGCACAGGGGGCTGGTCTGTCCGCTAGGAAGTGTAGAACATTCAGCTAAAAATACTTGGATCTTTAGATTAGATTTTCTGAGTTTTTCAGTATTCTAGTTGACTTTGAGATTTAGTAAAAAAATTGGGAACAGTAAATAAAAACTCTTCAAAGTTAAGTAAAAGTTTGTATGTCTTCAAGAGCCAGGATAGATCCTGCGTTTTCTTCTTGTAATGGTATGTGAATTTACCACTTGGCATCTTCTTCTGGGTGTATAATTGAGATATCTCTAGTTTCTTTCCTTGATATCCTTCCTCAGTGAATGATTGTGTAAAAGATGGAGAAAAATTAATATGGAACCCTCATCTTTCCCAGGGAATACCAGAAGGATGGAGTACATCTGTTATCATCTTCTCCTTATGAAAACTAGAAGGTTGTGGTTTGATAGCTGTGATATGTGAAACAGGATGAAAGGCAAACAATGTGAATCTGGGAAGAGAAATGTATTTCAGATTTCCACCTTCATCATGAGTAGCAATATATTTAAAGAAGACTTTAAATATACTGTTTGTTGTACTGTCTGATTTAGATGTCAGAAAAAATGCTTCAATGGAAAAAAATACAAAAACATACTCATACAAATATATATATGGGTTTAGCGTGTTTATATATACTGCATTATGTTTTAGTGTAGTTTGTTAATTGTGGAATTTAACAGTTTTCTAAATTTTTTCTCTAAGTTCTTAGTTACTGAAAAAAATCCAAAGTAATTTTTTTTTTGCTTTTATGTCACAATTATGTGTGGACTGGGGGTAGAAAAAAGGCAAAGATGTATTTGTAATTTCAGAGTTGTTAATGTTTAATTTGTTCTTTCTTCCAGTTATTGCAGCCAAGTACTTAGTAAAGAAGTTGACAGTTGTGTGACAGATCTCTTGAAAGAACTGGTTCGGTTCCAAGATCGTTTGTATCAGAAAGACCCAGTAAAGGCGAAGATAAAACGCAGGCTTGTTATGGGCCTTAGAGAAGTTTTGAAACATCTGAGGCTGAAAAAACTGAAGTGTGTCATCATCTCTCCTAACTGTGAGAAGATTCAGTCAAAGGGTAAATAAGATACAAAAAAAACAAAAAAAAACAAAAAAAAAACTTGTGTTATTTTTTTTGTTAATTTTGTTGTCTGCTCCAGGTGGATTGGATGAGACTCTTCACAACATTATCGACTGTGCCTGTGAGCAGAATATACCATTTGTTTTTGCTCTTAATCGCAAGGCCCTGGGTCGCTGTGTGAACAAAGCAGTGCCTGTGAGTGTAGTGGGAATTTTTAGCTATGATGGAGCTCAGGTGAGTTGAAAAATAAACTTCAGGCTTTTGTTTTGCTTTACTTAGTTTTGACCTTTAGGGGAAAAAAATAATTCTAATTTTGAGGTTTTATTTTGCTTTTGCACACTATACTCTTAATCCCAAATTAGAGATTTCTATGTGAAGTTAATAATGAATGTATGACCACTCAGCACTTTTTTTTTTAAAAAGTGATTTTGCTGTCTCTTCCTAACATCATTTCCACTTAGATCTCTTATCAAAATGCCTATTTCCAAAGATGTTATGTTTCTGTTAATGCTTGTTTTGTTTTTCATACTTCGATAACAAGTTAGCTGGTGCAGAGCTGCAGCATTTAATCAAACAGTGGATGCTTTTAAACAATCTTCTTGCAGGTGGGGGAAAAGCTAAGGTCAAAAGTGAAGTCAAGAGTATGGAGCCAGGTTCTTTTTGTGGTGCGCAGTGACAGAACAAGGGGCAGTGGGCACAGACTAGAACACAGGAAGTTTCATATGAACATGAAGAAGAACTTCTCTACTGTAAGGGTGACAGAACGCTGGAACAGGCTGTCCAGAGTTGTTACACAGCCTCCTTCTCTGGAGATATCAAGACCTACATAGAAGGTTTCCTGCGCAGCCTACTATCGAGAACCTGCTTTAACAGTGGGTTGAACTAGATGATCTCCAGAGGTCTTTTCCAGCTCCTACAGTTCTGTGATTCTTTGAATATGGAGGGCAGTTTTAAACATCGCCTTGTTCTGATTAGCTGAATACATGTGTGAATGAATCACCAAGATAGATTTGCCATGAAAATGGATGTAATGTGGACAGCAGTTTTTTAAGCTTGTGTGGGCAAGCTTCACTTGTTGTTTTTGAAAAAAATTCCATTCATGATTTTGCAGTAAAATATCCATACTATCTTACTAAAAAGACAGTTTATGTTTGAACTTTCTATATAAATATCCATATGTTTTGAATAAGGGATGTCCATTACAGATTTCCATAAAGATTTTAAAATTTTGTGTGATAAAAGTTTATACTAATATTTCCATAGGATCATTTTCATAGAATGGTACAACTGACAACAGAGGCCAGGAAGGCCTACAAAGATATGGTAGCAGCTTTAGAGGAAGAAGCTGAAGGAAGACAAACAGAAACTGAACTCAGCATCATAACCACTGAATCTGAAAAAAGTTGCTTATCAGAAACTGGTAAAACTTCTCCCAAGAACAATGATGAGGATATACCAAATTACAGTGAGTACTTATTGACTTATTTTTGATTCAAGTTTTCAGTCTGCTTTACTGTTTTCACTGAAACTAATGGCACCTGGCATGTTAACGGTTAGTAATGAGGAACTGTGCTTTTCTGTGGTCTTTTCTTTTCCCCCAGTTCTGTGAACCTGAGGTCTGGCTGAGAAAGACAGAATTGCTTTGATGTTAGGTTAAATGCACTGCTTTGTCCAAGGAGGCTTTTACAGAATGGCTTTTACCCTTACTATGTACATTTATTAGAAAATTGTGTGTTTCTTTCCTAAACTGCATGCTTTGTAGTTATAGTAGACTCAAGTTTTGTAAAGGTTTTCCTTTTCTGCTAATGCGTTCAGCTGATGATATTTATCACAAAACTCTAGGCAACCCTAAAATTTGACTGCTTTAGCCATCTTCATAGTTAAATGTCACCTGAGCAGATGGCTGAACCAAGGACCTAAGGGCATTCTTTCATGCCTGAAGTCTTCTTTCATGGGGTCATCTGATGCTGAGTAGCGTATATGCCAATGTGCCAAATTATCTTCACATTTGCTTTGAGGATAAGGAATTTGAGAGTCAGTGGCTTTTCATTTGAAGTTTTTTCTACAGAGTTTTGCACTAACTTGGAATTTTTTCATTTTCTTTTTGTTTGTTTGTTTTGTTTTAACGTCCTCAAGTTAAAATCTGGAAGAAAAACCTTGAAGAAGAATATAACCCCTATGCACTGGAACTGGAAAAGAGTGCAACTGCTGACATGGCGGTTCTGAATTCAGAAGAGCATCACTAAATGCAGATCATATTCTGCTAGGCTTTCAAGTTTTATTTTGTAATAGATCTACAAATATTTTATCTGAAATTAAATATCCAGGTAGGAGAGTGGCAAAAAAAAAAAAGTTTAAGTCAGATAAGTAAGCTGTTCTGAATCTCCTTACAGAAAATGCACACTGGAGTATATAAGACACTGGCTCATTCTTCTAAGTTCTGTGTACTTGGCTGATTACTATAGTAGACGATAACAGCAAATAAGTTGTTTTAACCAAGAACAACCTGAACAAGTTTGGCATATTAGTAATGGTCTTATGAACTTAAATTTGTTAACAGTGCAATATACCAAAAGAAGTTTGGGGGAGAGATTCCATGTGCCGGATGTTTGGAGCTTTGGGGATTTGTTTTCTATTTCTAGTTCTTGTTTAAAGAACTCAAGCTCTTTTTAAAAAAAAAATTGTTGTTGTTTTTGTTCTGTTTTTCATAATCCTGCTCAGGTGAGCAGTTTGGCATAAGTGTCACTTTATACCCTTCAGCAGGAGGTGAATTCTGGGCAGGCAGCTAGTTGGAAACTAATTCAGGAAAGCTGTAGTGTTGAAGATTACCAGTTAGTTCTTTCCCTGTGATCATTTGTTTTTGCTCTCTGATACTACTGCAATCCGTTCACTACAGATCCTACTTTTGAGCCGGAGGACATAAGATGGACCAGCTTGCTTTCCTGTCTGTGGCTTTCCATGCTGACATATTCTTCATTCCTTTGTTTCAGGGTTATGCCAGTATATATATATGCAAGAGTTTTTAAGTCAATATCAGTTTGTATCTAAGATAGGGAAAATTTTTATCCAATACATTAAGTAAATTTTGAAAACAAAATGTGCTCATAATGCTGTGGTTGAGCACTTTCATGGGAATGTAAATATAAACACCTCTGTTTACAGCTTACAGATGTAAGAGGACAAGCCTAAGAAAGTCATTGGAGGAGGCACATAACTGATCCACTGTTCTGAAAAAGAGATACAGATACTGTGTGCTGCAGCCAGCCTCTCTGTCATGCATTTATAAGTACTGGAACACATACTTTGGAAAGTAGCTGCCTCACTGCTGTCAGATACAGAAGTCTTTAAACTATTCTTCGGTGACATTGCACCTGCTTAAAAATAATTAAGATAAAAGAAAGAAAAATTATTTCAGATACTTCTGCTTAATGGATGCAGAAGGCCAAATCTCAGCACTACAATAAAACTGAAATAAGTGGGTCCGCACATTTTCAAGCTGCAGTTGTCCACTAGAAATAAGTGAACACAAATGCAGTCTTGAAATTCACTCCCTTTGTAAGTGTTTGAAGCTACCATAGTTAACTCAATATGGAAAAATAACTTGGGTGTTTTGTGAGCCATCTTTATTTTGAGCATTAGTCAAAAATTCTTCATTTGGTACAGAAGCTTTATAACCAAAAGGCATATGTTTGAACAAATGAACTTGCTTATACCAGAAAAGATTGTTCTTCAGAATACTAGGAACTGAGTTCAAGGGTAAATGCTTGAATGGAGAATGGAAGAGTGGAAGTGCCTCCGAAATAAAGTTATTCAAATCTTATTTATCAATCTCTAATTTACATGCCAAGAGCCTCAAGAGCAAAACAATTAGTTTGCTTAATCAACTCAGAACAGAAGGCATAGATCATGTTACGTTGTTTGAGCTGCACAAGTCATCCTAGGACCACTAGTCATTCTTTGTTCAGCTAAAATAAGCGTCAGAAAAATAGATGGCTCCAGCATGGGGAAGATGGCCTCTCATAGCACTGGCTACACACTGTGCTCGTTCTCTGATGAGCAAGGATATCATGTTCTACCTCAAACTTCAGCAGATTTCTCCTGAACATTAGTTGTAATGCCAGCACTAACATTTGCAAATACCTCTTTGAAAGCTGTGATATTAAGAGTGCCGGGCACTGATAAGTTGCATATATTCCTCGTTCCAGTTTGTTTATTCCTTTGTACATGAGAGGCTGCTTTTCTTGTTGCAACTTCCCTGAAGGATAAAAAGAACAAGTTGTCAACATATCGTTAAAATAAAGTGGGGTTAAAAGATTACTTATACTGACTGTTACACATGCAGCAAGTACATGCGGTACCCAGCTATCAATTAATGCTTGCTGTAACAGTTGGAGAAAAACACTAAATCTAAGTAGGTGCTTGGGATTCTGTTTTGTTTTTGTTTTTAAATAAGGGTGGCTTTGATTAAACAATATCATTTACAAGCTCCAGTACTGTATTGCAGACCAAAATCAACACATTAATGTGAAAACATCTGCTCTATTTGGCAAGCAGACTCTTCGGGGTAGGATGAGGACTACTTACTTAGAATTTGATTAGTGCACTGTGGGAGCAAGCTGACATAAGTGTACATGATGGATGAGGCAGATCATACTGTTGAGAGGGTCAGACTGACAGCATGTACAGGAGCTCTGATCACTTTGTTACATAAACCCATTCAGTTGCCAGTGGGTCACTGGCTATTGATAGCTGCAAGACTAGTCTGTCCTATAGAAAGGTCCATAGGAGAGATCAGTTTCAAAAATTCTTACCCATGTCTTCCTCCAGTTTTGCATCATCTTGTCGTGTTCACTGATAGCAGTTCTCCAAGTATCAAATTCTTTGGTCCATCCATTCTTACCAACACTATCTGAAAATTGTAAATTGGATGATTATGTAACTAAATAGTGATCAAATGAGCTGACATTAACTCAGCCACAGTGCTTTTACTGAGGATTGGGCTCAAAGGAAGGCAAGGCACCATTTTATCTTCTGTTCAGCTCTACCTTCTCTTAGGTTACATGGAAGTAAGTTCTGTTCAAATGGTCTGGTCTCTTCCCCTCTGCAGCAAACTTTACAACCTCTAGTGCAAGCAGACTGTCACTCCAGAGGTTCTGGTTATCTGTCAGTCCAAGTTTAGGAAAAAAAACAAAACAAAACACACAAAAAAAAAACCAAAACAAAAAAACAAAACAAAACAAAAAAAACCACCTACTCACAAGCTTAAGCCATTTAGAAGCAGAGGAATGTTGCAGGTACATCATGCCAAGGATGAAGAAAAGAATATAATACAGCCAACTATCGAGTTTGTGATTTCTTCATTTTACAGTAATGTTATGTAGTGAGTTGTTCTTTATTCCATACTTCAGAGCATAAGATGGACTGTTTTACCACATCTTGATGAATTTTTAGTCCAGTCTTGCCTACAAACATTTTTTCCTTGTAGTCCCCACCACTCTAGTGGTAGCAGCAGACACAGATGTAGTATCTGTCAAGATGGTCATGGTATAATGCTTTCAAAGCTTCCCTCCTTTGCACTGATAGCAGTTTCACTGAGATGCTCCTCATTCTGCTTTCCTTTTCAACTGAAAAGGGCTATGCTAAACTGTTCTTGACTTGATTCACATTTGGCACTAATCAGGTAAATATATATATTTTTTCTTTTCCATATTAAAAAAATAATCTTATGTACCTTTGTTGCTCCTGATGCCTTTTTTTTTTTTTTAATATATATTTATTTAGACTTTCTGCAGGTATGGGTAAGTTGCAAAACTTAGTTGTAAAAGGTACTCAAGTTGTCCTTATCAGTTCTGCTTGCGTGAAGATCTTACCCAAGTGCTCAGCTGAGCTGTCTGACCTCTGGCCCATAAGTGACAAAACAAAAAAGTTGGATCTGCATCCACCTGACTACAGGCAACTCACAGATCACCCAATATTTAAATATCCCATATAGCAAGCGTATAGTATGAAATAAACAATTACCTCTGACCAGTTTTTGGATAGCTCAAGAAGGTATTAGTCACAATCCAATAATAAGGAAGGAATAGCTTACCCCATTCTGAAGATAGGGCTCACAGGAAAACTGTCAGTAGAAGCAAACTGCAAGTAGAGATACTTCTCACTCAGCTTCAAGCCCTTAAATGAGGTTGGGGAAGAGGGTGGGCCCAGGGTTGCACAAGAGAATTGCTTGCACTTGTGCTTCCAGGACTTGCCATGCCTTTTTATCAGGTGCTCAGCTGGTTCAGGCCTATGTACTGGGCATTTCTTTTTCTCACTTCCTTAGAAGCAAAGCTTTTTGTCACCCTGCATAGTTCTTGCAGAGTGGTATTTTGTATTCTCAGTACTCACATCCAATCCGTGTCCATTCATTTAACAGTTTTTGTTTCATTACTAAGGCATATTTGCTGATTTGCAGGTTAGTTCCATGGGAGGGTGAGAAAGAAGCAATTTTCTGTGTCTGCAAAACCTTTGTTGGCAGAGCCAACAAAAAGAGCGTACAGTCAGAACCAGCCTACCTGTATCTTTCACTTTGATGAGCACTTCTGATGTTGTGTTCCCAATCTTTGAGATGAATGAACATTTATATTTTGTATTTCCTGATACTGAATCTTTCACCCAACTGAGGACATGCACTCTGCCATCAAACAGCCTGTGAGCCTGTTCAGTGATGCATGCCTTCATTTCCTGTCCATTCTTCTTCCAGACAAAATGGGAGTCATCAGGACCTGTAGAAATGTCAGTCAGCTTACTTGGGGAGAAAAACACAAGCTGAGTCTTTGAGGAAAAAAGTGAAAGTTTAGGACCTCAAGATTAGGCTCAAAGACATAAAAAGCTTGGTTTCAATGTTTCTTAAGTTTCTTCAGCTGAAATTCTAGACACCAAAAAGCTGGGATAAAAAAAAAAAAAAAAAAGTACCGTTGATAATTTAAGTTTAAGCTGTAGTTGTAAATAAGTTCATATGCAAAAAGTTTTCTGTGCCTGTATTCTTACAGGGGGAAACTGGCCCACAACCGTGATAGACCAGACAATGGAATCAGTCTGTTGAAGAAGCAGGCCATGCTAACTAGTGCTGATGAAGCTCATGCCTGGTGAAAGGCTGAAGCATTCTGAGATACCTTCCAACATTTGAAATAGAGGCTAGGAGGGGAAAAAGTTCAAGAATTCAGTATGTCAAAGATGCCAGAAATAGTGAAAGGCAAAACTGAAAAAAGTGTGGGACCATTTGTCACAGCAGGCAATTAGACAAGACAGAACAGCTTGGATCAAGAACAAAGAGCAATCTAATCTTTTAGTTGTTGCTACTATTAATCTTAACATGTGAGGATAGAATTTGAATAAATCAGAATTATTGATAGTAGCACAGAACAGCTGTTAGTGGAAAGTTAGCAAGATTGGATGAAGCATAATATCTGTGTCCTTTCACTAAAGGGAAAGGCATCTGGGTCAAGCTAAGAACTTTGCAGCAATTCTTAAAGCACAGAATCATAGAATGATAGAATGGCCTGGGTTGAAAAGGACCTCAAGTATCATATAGTTTCAGCCCCCCCCCCCGCCATCAGCAGGGTTGCCAACCACCAGACCAGGCTGCCCAGAGCCGCATCCAGCCTGGCCTTGAATGCCTCCGGGGATGGGGCATCCACAACCTCCTTGGGCAACCTGTTCCAGTGTGTCACCACCTTCTGTGTGAAAAACTTCCTTCTAATATCTAACCTAGCCTTCCCTGTCTCAGTTTAAAACCACTTCCTCTTGTCCTATCATGATGAACCCATGTATAAACAGATGTTCCCCCTCCTGTTTATATGTTCCCTTCAAGTACTGAAAGGCCACAGTGAGGTCTCCCTGAGCCTTCTCGTCTCCAAGCTATACAAGCCCAGTTCCCTCAACTTATCTTCATAGAAGTGCTCCAGGCCTCTGATCTTAGTGGCTCTCCTCTGGACCTGTTCCAAGAATTCCATGCCTTGTGCTGGGGCCCCAGGCTTGGACGCAGTGCTCCAGATGGGGCCTCACAAGAGCAGAGTAAAGGGGGAGAGTCACTTCCCTCTCCCTGCTGGTCACTTTTTTTAGTGCAGCCCAGAACACAGTTGGCTTTCTGGGCTGCAGATGCACACCACTGGCTCATGTCCAGCTTCTCATCCACCAGGAATTGAGAAACACGTCTGTTTCTCCCTTAGGGCTTGGGATACAGAACGGACTTAGAACACTGAGAGAAGGTGTAAAAAGAAAGCTGGATAAAAGGAAAATAAAGGATTCTTTGAAATGGGTCTTGAGGGAACAGAACCTGCTACAGCAGTCAGATTTTGCTGGGTTTTTTTATTCCGAACTGATATGGAACTTTCTTCAGAAAAAAAAAATGTGATTCTAGGCCTGCTAACTAGTTAGATTTCACATTCCCTGGTGTTGATTTTTTGTCTGCTTGCATGGCAGCCTTTACATCTATCTGTGTGCCTTCTCAGCATATGTTAGATTCAGATTTAAATCATTTGCTAATATCCAACAAATATGGAGAAAGAAATTTTTATTAAGTACAAGGATGAATAGCAGAGAATGTGATTTAACTGCAGTGTGGTGGATTTCATCCTGGAAGGAAGGAGGGGTGGAAAGGAGGCAGCACATTCTCCAAAGGAATGACGACAGCTCTGTCAGAGTTGGGGGCAGGAAACGAGCGTAGAATGTTCTTTAAACAAAGTAAATCATGTTTTATAGATGGCTGTCCTAACCCTGTGATTAACTGAAGGTGGATTACATGTAACTAAAAGTATGGGAGACAGGAACAATGGACAAATTATTTCAGTACGTTAATGAAGTTGGCGTTGGGACAAATGGGAAGAGCGGTGGGTAAAAGCAGTGAAATAATAAAAAAACAGGCTTTGGATTTATTCCTTGAAGAGTTGAGAGAACACTCGATGAGAACTGCAGACAGTTGCCATGGGTAAGTCTGTCCTTGGATGAGGGCTAGAGAAGAAACCTGTGGAAGTGTCAGAGGTCAGGCTGACTGGGAGGCACTAGGACTGACTCAAGCACAGTGCAGATCAGAAGGAGCTCACTGAAGCTTATCGGTTGTTGCTCAGTCATTGCAAACCACAAGCCAGGTGCTCGAGTACAGCCATGTGCTCATCTGTTTAATAGCAGTACTTCAAACCCCTAGGACATGACAATAGAGCAGTTTGTTACCTACAATCATGAGCTTAAAAAACACTTCTTTAGGGCCAGGCAAGGAAATGGCAGGGCATTCTCTAAATGCACTTCAAGTGCTCCGTGTCACTGCTGACACCAAAGGA